GTATGTATGTATGTATGTAAGTGTTTTGGTGAAATGAAATTTACAGTTTATTAATGAAGTAGATTGAAAAAAAAGACTTTGTCATTGGAAAATCAACAAACAGCAAAAAACTAATTAACCAAATGACTAATGAACAATTGTCTATTTGTACATTATTTCGGAATGATGAAAAACACAACTTTTTACACGAGGAGATACACAGAGAGAGAGAGAGAGAGAGAGAGAGAGACAAAGATGGAGATACATTGGAACATAAAGCAATTCAATGTCTTTTGAGTATTGATGATGAAATATTTTATTTTACTGAATGAATGAATGAATTTTTTTTTCAAGTAAATACTTGATTATCAAAATGATATTATTCACACAATGATATAAATTCACTTTCATTAATAGGCAAGGATAATTTGACATTGGTTTTGTTACACATGCATGTAAACATGTCAATTTGATATGCTTGAACTATTATGAGTTCATCTTAGTCGGAAAACGAGAGTGAGGATCGAGGATCCGGCGACACGTCAAGCTACTCTAATCCGATTTTCCCAAACCCCTCATTGAGTAAAAGAAGAAGACTTGATATGAAGTAGGCGAACATGTATTCTACAAGCATCCAGAAAGTACGAGGTCCGAGTCCATAAGAAGTCAAGAATCCCTGACTAAGGATTCGGGTCCGGGTCATAAAACGTTACAAATAATGTGTATTTTTTTATACAGTTAGGTTGAATAAGAAACAACATTGACGTGTGTGACACTGACAGTTAGAACGACTAATAGGAAACAACATTTGAAGTGACATTGATAGTTAGGACGACCATAATATTGACCAGTAAGAATTGACCAATAGAACTAGACTTACAAAATTAATTCTCTTAGGATATTTGATGAATATCCTAGCAGATTTTCAAGAGAACCAGGCACTGCCCACATGTTAACACTACACTATGAACAGTACAGCTCAATCCTGTAGCGCAACCACATAGGTATCTGATACCCAGGTGGACCATTTACACCATTTATATATACCAATATGTATGATGATTATTTCCAATCGATCAACGAACAGGCCAACTTGACCCAATCCGCTTACATGACTGTCACACTCATTATCATTAACAATTGTGATATGCATTACAGCATCCCAATGACGATGACCCTAGGGAATGTTGCAAGACAACTACCACCAGTATCAATGAAATCGGTTACTCTACAAACCAAATTCGTACGCGGACTGTTGGCGAAACTTGCCAGAGTAATGCCATACTATCCACAATCTTCACAACGAACCACTGTTCTCATAGGAAACTTTCAGTTCTATATAGCAATATAGTTTCTGGTATATACATTATACGGATGAAAACTAGAGGAAATTGTACAAACTGTTAAACTTTCATATTATGGATTAATTTTGTTACAACAACCATTGAAACCATGAATTATTGGATATTTTATTTTCTGCTAAATTGAAACTCCTTAGTAGTAGTGTACATCCAAGACCCGATATTGTGATCAGTGATGTATCATCATGTTGGACGTGAAACAATTCCCATTAAAAGTGATGCATAACAGTTACACAATATCGTGAAGTTAGACACATATATATATGTCATTTAATGTCAACTCAGTAGTCTAAAGTGTAGGGTTCGTCACTAGGTACGTTTGAAGCTATTACGAGTTCACCTTAGTCGATAAACGTGAACGAGACAATGAAACAGCGTCCAGATAGGCTACCTTGAATCCCAAACTGAAGATAGAAGGCTTTGTAAGCGTAGAAAGATTATTCTACAAACACCCAGCAATCACAATACAATCAAGCATACAACTCTCGTTTATTTATACATCATAGAAACGTCCTTGGGACAGTCACAAAAAGAGCACACTAAAATACACAGCAGCCAATCACAGCCATGGATTTTCCTGGTGGGAAATGTGATCTCAAGGTCAACTGATCCGTCCATGCTGGCAAACGTGAAATCCAAAATAAGGCATTTAACAAGCGAGATTTGGGGATCTAACATCCCCAACATAAAGTTTATGAGCATGCGGTGAGTTTTGAAGCTCTTAAGTTTGACTTCTGTTGGGGTAGTGGATGAACATCACTGAGAAGTTTCATATTGTAACAGAATAGTTATTTAGTGCTTACTAGAGTTTGTTTAATTTAATTAGTAAATTTGGAGGATTAAAGTAAACGTAACTTTTAAATTTACTTTTCATACATAAAACTAGCTATTATTGAAATTTAAAAGTTAATTGTTCTACGTAATCGTTATTAAGAAGAATAGAGTTTTGTACAGTCCTATAGTATTGTTTGAATTCAGTCTCTCAACTGAAGTATGGCCACTAGTTTTAACCTAAGTGGTAAGGTCTCAAATATGAATCTGAGTAATGTTGACTTGAATTCCACAACGAATGTCAAACCCCCTAAGAACTGCAGGGTATGGCTACTGATAAGTACCAACTGAAACAAAACCCAAAGTCCTCACTGTCCAGCCAACTACTGGGAAGATCTAAGGACTGAATTGACAGAGAATTCTTTTGACCGGAAATTAGCTGACATAGTTAGTAAAAGTGCCCTAGTTCAATATGTATGCTTAAACCCTATGCAGGCCTAGAAGATTGTATGAAGAGAAGCTAATAAATGACTCCACTGAATACTCAAAATGCCTATACTCATACACCAACAAACGGACTAAGAGAAAAGGCAGCGTCTCAGCGTTATGGGGAGACAGTAGTACTGAATCGTTGACGGAAGACAGTTATGGTAAGGTTAAGGTATACTCAAACTATTTTAGTGATGCGAACACCACAGAGGTGTCTCTCCTTCCAGTTCTTACAGGCCCCTCCCTAGAAAATGTGGATGCTATGGACATTTAGGAACCTGATGTCCTCGATCTGCTGAATAAGCTAAATTTTAATAAATCTCTGGGACTCAATGAAATGCATCCTGGACTACTAAAAGAGCTGACAAATCTCGTCTTAAATCCGTAATGTATGAGTTTTAGTCCATCTGTAAATTAAGGTAGATTACAAAAAGACTTGAAGAACGCCATTGTAGGTCCTGACTTCAAAAAAAGTCCGAGACATAAACCTGAGAATTATCAACCGCTAAGCCTAACTGCTATGACTGTGAAAATTTTAGAAAAGATTATTCGTAAGGAAATGTTTAAATACCTAGACGGAAACCGGACTCTTCCTCAGAAGCAGCAGGGCTTCAGAACAGGTTATTCATGTCTCACAAACCTTTTAGTAGCCTGTGGAAGTTGATGTGCTCTTAAAATTCAAAAGCTACCCATAGATGCAGCTTTCATTGACTTTAGAAAAGCTTTTAACCAATTTCTATACAATCGGATTGCAATAAAATTAAGGAATATCAGGATTGGGGACAACTTATCTATGTGAATCAGGGATTTTCCAGTCGGGCACAGACTAAGATTACAGGTTAAATCCAGTTTGTCTGACTGAACAACTGTTTATCAGCGTTCCTCACGGTAGAGTTCTGAGTCCATTGCTGTCCCTCCTGTATGTCAATTACCTTTCTAGTTTCCTTCATTAATCATGATATATGCTGACAATAAAAAGATATGCAGAGCGATAAAAGATTATCCGAATGATGCAGAATTTGGTAGTTGTCGATAAGTGCTTCCAAGTGAATGATGGTGCATACTGGCCACCAAGGTACCAATAAGTGCACAGTGAATAACACTTAGCTACCTGTTATCCAGATACATAACGACCTAAGAGTCATCACTAACAAAGATTTGGAAACTAATGCATACTATCGTGCAACACCCGCCAACGGTTTTAGAACACTATTGTCTGTATGTAGAGTCTTCAGCCATGCCTGTGTTAAGGCATTTTTGACTATGTAGACAGTATCCGCTAGTCCTAAACTTGAGTATTTCATACAAGCAGCCAGCTGCTGTCCAGAAAAAGACAGTGAGCTGTTAGAGCAAGTCAAAAGAACTGTAAATAAACGAATCCTCAAAATCGCATAGCCACCGTATGACAAGAGATTGGCTAAATTAGACTTATTCCTATTTTTATACAGAGGACTAGAAGTGACTTAATTACAGTTTTTAAATTATTTAATGATAGATTTGCATTTGACCTGCCCTAATTTTTTCTTGCCTTACATAAGTAGAGAATTTTCAAGGACACTTTAAAAAAGTTCACAAGCTCAGTACAAATTACTTGTCAGTTGACTACCAAAAACATTCTAACTTAATCGATAACGAACGGAACTAGCTACCTCAACACGTAACTGAAGCTCCATTTGTCGTTGCATTCAAGAGAAAGCAGGATTAGCCGAGAGACTAACTTTACAAGGATCAACACAAGCCACCCACCTTCCTATCTTTTCCAAATTAAAACTGAGAATAATGTATATTACGGGATTGTGAAGATTGTTAAGTTACACATTTGTGAAACCATGAATCGATCAATGTTAGACCACCATTAGAAACTTGGGAGCACTGGCGCACCTGGAATACTGCTGATGAATCCCATACAAGGAAGAAACGGCCGTCTTTCACTGCTTCCAGGTTTCTAATGGCGGTCTAACATTGATCGATTCATGGTTTCAAATGTGTAACTAAACAATCTTCACAACCCCATAATGTAAATTACCTGTGCTCACCAATGACAAGCTCCATGAGGAATCTTTTCCGAGTTCTAGTGGGAAGTCGTGACCAGTGAAGTTCAATCTTTTCGGCTGTAGATAGTAACCACCGAAGACAGTGTACGAGGTTGTAGTTAGACATTAACACTTTTAGGTCCAGACGATAGGCAGTCGCGAGCAATACCGAAAGCCCTGGGTTCGGATCGTGGATGCGCACTGCCATTGATGGGTAGTCCCATACCAGGAAGAAACGGCCGTCTTTCATTGCTTCCAGGTTTCTAATGGCTGTCTAACATTGGTCTATTCATGGTTTCGAATGTGTCGAATAATATATATACATATATCGATAATGAACATGAAAAAATAACGCCACTCAACTCACTTTAATAATTTCAACCATTTCATGCTTTTCAATAGTACCATTCCCATTAATATCATACATTTGAAATGCCCATTCCAATTTCTCTTCTGGTTTACCACCTGATGTAATATTAATTGCTAGAAGAAATTCTTTAAAATCAATTTTTCCAGAATTATCTTTGTCGAATGTTCGAAATACATGTGTACAAAATTCCTCCGCATCACCATCAGGAAAGAATCCAGAATAAACTTCAATAAATTTCTTTTTACTTAATTGACCAGAAGGACAATCTCTCTATAAGCAATAATAGTTTAAATAATAAAATTGAACACAGTAAATATTTTTGTTTTAAATGTCATAAAATGTTAATGAGCGCATATTCAAAATGGAATAAATTGTACACCAATTCATAAAGTTATCAGTGAATAGTCTAATTATATCAACTGTTTTGAACTCCATTCCATTTTGAAACGTTAGATTGACCAATGATCAAGAATATTTGATCATTTTCACACTTGTAAATTTGAGCGAAATCTTATGTGGCACAGAGTTTTTATTGAATTCGTCCAATTATTGATCAGTTCTAATTGAACGTTACTTACTTACTTACGCCAGTTACCTCCAATGGAGCATAGGCCGCCCACCAGTTTTCGCCAACAAACTCTATCCTGGGCTTCCCTTTCCAGTTCTGTCCAATGTTTGTTCATTCCTCTCATATCTTTCTCTATTTCTCGTCGTAATGTATTCCTTGGCCTTCCTCTTTTCCTTTTGACTTGAAGGTTCCATGTGAAGGCTTGTCTAATTGAACATAACGTTTGAATAGGTAGAACATTTTTAACTCTAAAGCAATTTTCTTTTGAAAATAAACTTTTCATCACTTGAAATAATATATTTTATAGAAATTTACTACAAGTTATAAATTTTTATCTTGTTGTTTTCATCTCAGCATATCTTTGATCGCTAATCGTCTCGATTATCGGTAATACTGCTAGTACCTCAACTAGTATCGGATTTGAACTGACAACTCCATCTCTTTGTACTAATACGGTAGGGCAACTTGAATTGATGTAAGTGGACGTACGAAGTTCTACCTTGAAGCTGACTGACTGATTGACTAACTGATATCTGACTACACTGATGTAAGTTAATCTGGAGCAATGCATATTTAGGTATACTGAATACCACATTGACTATGACTGACTAATATTAATATAATAATAATAAGTACACAGTTTTTAGTTGATATTTACTTTACGAATAATAAATCATGTACGATATAACATACAGACCCACTAGTTCTGTATATAAATATATTATAAAATGAGAATCATGAAGCTTTTATTAATTTTCTAGTCGACATAATCAGCATATACTTGAGAAAAAAATATAAAGAAATAAGCTGTTCAATGTTTTCCACAGCTGAATTTGTTTGACTACTAAAACAATTCTACTGACAACACCACTACTCGCCATAGAATCAAACTAAACATAATGCAAGGCCTGAAGGTCCTGGGTTCTAATCCCCCAACGAGTAGCAGGAGTCATGGATGCGCACTGTCACTGATGAGTCGTTCGATACCAGGACGAAATGGCCGTCTTACAGTGCTTCCAGATTTCTAATGGTGGTGATTGATGAACTCAACGTGTAAACAGAATGCACTTTAAAAACTGACTAATTCTCACTTATTTTTTGTTTGTACATTAAAAAAAGTGAAGTATATTTAATTCAAAATTGAATAAAAGCGAAGCAGATAAACAAACGACATTCAAACACACACACACATACAATGTGTGTGCAAAAACTATTCAATGAAGATGTTGGGGATGTTAGATTTCCAAAACTCGCTTCTTAAATGCCTTATTTTGGATTTCACGTTTGCCAGCATCGGCTGATCAGTCGACCCTGAGATTTCATTTTCCACCAGGAAAATCCATAACTGTGATTGGCTGCTGTGTATTCTATTAGTGTGCTATTTTCATAACTGTCCGAAGGACGTTTCTATGATGTATAAATAAACGAGAGTTGTGCGCTTGATTGTGTTGTAATTGTTGGGTGTTTGTAGAATATACTTTCTACGCTTACAAAGCCTTCTATCTTCAGCTTTGGATTCAAGGTAGCCTACCTGGACGCTGGTTCATTGTCTGGTTCGCGTTTATCGACTAAGGTGAACTTGTAATAGCTTCAAACGTACCTAGTGACGAACCCTACAAAAGATTATTTTCTATTCGTTTTTAAGTTATTTATTTATTTAAAACAAACTCAACAAACAACTAAACTTAATTATTATTCAATCAATCTAAATCAACAACAAACTAAAAAAAACGGGATTAAAAAACTTTTCTCAAGTGTATTTCAGTTATCTCTTTTGATTTATTTTACTCACTCACTAACTAACTAACTAACTAACAAACTAACTAACGTTGATTTCAATCAGAAATACATTGACGTGAAGAAATAAGTGTTGCAAATTTCGTCTTTTATTGAAGTACCAGTTAATCAAGATTATTGTAGCGCGGGGGGCGTTAAGATTGAAAGAAACAATAACAAATAGCAAACAAAACTATTACTGTATGTTCAACTCGATTTTTCGCGTAAATTTTTAACTCATCAATGTGAATTTGAATCACATAGGCATAATTCGATCAAGAAAGACGTGAAGACGATAAAATTGAATTTTCTAAATTATCTAATAGTTCATTCACTTCAATCAATCATTGATTGATTGTAGATGGAGTTCAAGTGTAGTAGTAGTAGTAGGTAGAGTGACTCTCAAGTTATAATCAAATAAATTACAGTCACTATGAGTAAATTGTTGTTGATCAATTGAAAAAAAATGTCACTAGTCTTGTTTCATCTGTTGTGATTTAGAATAAGCGATAACAATCATACTTTCTAGAACAAACTGGCATAAGTGAAGATGTTGGAAAAGCAGCTAGTAGTGGAAAGTTGTTTAGGACCCATTATTAATAATGTGTACACGTTAGATTAAATCATAGTGAACATAATGATTGAATCGGTCCACATTACAAATATTAGTTATCTTTTTCGATTAGAGTTATGGAGATCAGTGATGTTACGCATTGAAATCATGAATCAACCAATATTAGACCACCATTAGAAACCTGGAATCAGTAGTCGGCCATCCTGTCCTTGAACAGGACTCATTTGCAGTACGCATCCACGAATCGATCGAAGTTGGACACTCAAGCCGCTAGGTGCCGGCTCAGTGGTCCAGAGATTAGTCGTTCGCGTGTATGACCGTAGTCCTCGGGTCCAAACCCTGCGTGTAGCAGGATTCGCGGATGCATATTGCTGACGAGTCCCGTACCAGGACGAAACGACTGTCCAGCCCTTCCAGGTTTCTAAAGGCTGTCTAAAACTGATCGGCTAATGATTTCAATGTGAAAAAATACTGATCAATTTAAGGTTTAGAGTGAATGAATGTTTCACTCTTAAACAGGCTAATTACAAATTATGTGCTCAAACTGGAACTTTGAAAGTCCACTTCGAATTTATTCATTTGTTGACATTTCAATATTACCCGTAGATTGTGTCGTGAATTAATCCTAGCCAGACGACCACTGAAAACCGGGAAGCACTGGACAGAGTTTCATCCTAGTGTTGAACTCCTCATTAGTGCACATCCATGACCTTTTCACAGGGACTGGAACTTTGAACCTTTGATTGTACAAGTGAATTCTAAACCACTATATCGCTGAATCGGTATCTTCAAACAGCTGACTATAATTTTACGACCATTCTCTCTAGGTCGTGTGGTGGATGACTGTCTCACTTCCCACATGATTAAACTCTATCAGTTATTCCTTTTCAACAGATCTCCAGAAATTACATCTTGAAACTAGTCATTATTATCTGCATAGGGTTCTGAGAAGGTTGTAAAACTGTCCTACGGTTGTATGCAATGAGCTTATCGCATTAGTGAAAAGTATCATTAGGTTATATATATATATATATATATATATATATATATATATATATATATATATATATATATATATATATATATATATATATATATAATTTGCATTACGGCGTTGTGAAGATTGTTAAGTTTTTTTTTGAAACCATGAATCGATCAATGTTAGACCACCATTAGAAACCTGGAAGCACTGGACGGCCGTTTCGTCCTGGTATGGGACGCCTCAGCACCCTTAGATACCCGCTCAGTGGTCCGATGGTTAGGCGTTCGTCTACAGTACCGAAGGTCTTGGGTTCGAATCCTGCGGGGTGCAGGAGTCGTGGATGCGCACTTCTGAGGAGTCCCATACCAGGACGAAACGGCTGTCCAGTGCTTCAAGGTTACTAATGGTGGTTTAACATTGATCGATTCATGGTTTCAAAAAAAACTTAACATTCTTCATAACCCCGTTGTATATATATATATATATATATATACTTATTTTTACTAATGGCTTGTTAATAAGTTGATAAAAACTAGTAATTTCATTCAACCGATTCACTAGTATAAGTAATATATTATGCATACACTGTAAACCTAAATGATAAGTAAATGTTCCCAGATCTTTTCTTTTTGTTTTTAACAAACTAACATTTTTTCCCAGTAATTTTTTTATTCACATTCTTTCCAATAGTAATGAAATTCATTTTGTGTGTAAAAAATATTTTGGTATCATAATAATAATAATAATAATAATAATAATAATAATAAGCATTACATTTAAGATTGAATTAATTTTAGATAAAATAAAGAGATAATCCTTCTGACTAATTTAAGATAATCAGTTAATAATTATCAAAGCATTTTTGATGGGAATAATCAAGATATGAACAATCAGTTTTAGATCAGTCAGATGAACACTTTCTCTTTTATTGATCACTCCTAGTGTGGTGCGAGCTACTTATAAGTAGTATATGATGTGAGTGTCAACGTAATATCTGGCAGCCGAAGATGAGGGAAGATCAAGTAAGAAAGAGTTAGAACACAATGGAATTTGTATGAAACGCATGAATAGTGACTATGGATTGATGTTGTTTGCAACAGGAACAGTCCAGTTCGATATGATGAACTGATATTTTGCAAATGAACAATGTACGATATGGTTTTCCGATTTTACTGAGTAACTCTATAATTTTCGTTAAATACAATTCGGTTGACCCACCTGTGTTCTCATTCACTACACTAGTACACTTTTAGTCAGTGTGAATAAAACTTTGTGAAGTTGAAGTTTTAAATAGTATAACACTGAGTTAGATGTTGGACATTAACATTGTTGGATGCTGGCACAATGATGTAGAGGCTAGAAGCGTTCAC